TTTTATTTATTTTTATTATTGATTTTTATATACTAGTTCATCTATATTCACTGTCAATTTTTATGTACTATTTTTATTTATTTTCAGTGTCAAACTTTGTGTATTATTTTCATACATTTTTATTATTGATTTTGTGTAATATTTTATTTAAATTCATTATCAATTTTTATAAATTATTTTCATCTATTTTCATTGCCAAATTTTGTGTATTATTTTTATACATTTTCATTATTGATTTTGTGTAATATTTTATTTATATTCATTGTCAATTTTTATGTATTATTTCATCTGTTCTCATTGTTAATTTTTGTACATTTTTTCCATCGTTTTTCGTTGTCCATTCTCATTGTGAATTTTTGTGTTCTATCAAATTAACCGAAACAATTTCTGTGCAGTAAAATAAAAAATAATGAAAATCCGAAACACTCGCTGCAGATAAAGTGAAAAAATTCCGTTGAAAAATTGAATGAAATGTCAAAATTCATCTGACAATTGATATGTGGAACAGGTATCCTTGGACGCGGTTCGAAACGAAATGGTAGCGAAATAGTCTAATTAACGTGGGGTTGAAACTATGTACATATATGTGTCCACCTGTACGTATCCTTGCTGGTAAACTAGTTGCAATTTTCATGGGAAACTAGAGCAAGGTTAAATGATGGATAAAGAATAGAAACGTATGGAATGAAAAATGCGAGCAGATATAACAGTGAACAGTGATAGCAGGAAATTATAACGAGGGGAGAGTAATTGAGAAATTTATGCTTTTAGCAAACTTTAATGCACTCCTTGTATTATTGGAAAAATAAATTTATACAAACTTTTTATATAAATGGAGTATTTTAAAAATACCTACATTCTTAAAATTATTTTTAAACTGAATAAAAACTGAATTTTAAACTAAATAAAATTAAAAACTGAATTTTAAATTTTAAATAAATTTTGTAAGTAAATTTTTATTCAGTTTTTATATTTTTATATCCGCATTTTTCTAACAATATCATTCTTTAATTTTTTATTTAATAATAATTAGTGGAGAATAATATTATTCTCAAAAATTATTCTCCATTTTCCTAAATTAATTTTATGAACGATAAAATCTTTTAACAAATTTCACGTTCTATAATTTCGTTTTAAGATACTTAATTCAGCGAACACTCAGCATTCTCAAAACGCAGTTCAAAGAATGTGAATAAAATTTGACGTTTATTTTTCCTTTCCACTTTGAAACTTTTACTGTACAAACTGTGCTCAAAGCACGCGAACTTTTTGCGACTATGACGTGGATATTTATTCGATCTTTTCGGTGTATTCGGAACGGAAATTCCCGATTTTATTCTTTCGATGCATGTAGGATCGAATCCATGGGCAAAACAAGCAAAATACACTCTTTCTGCCTTATACTCTATCAAAGGAAATTAAAAAGCACGAACAGGAAGAATTGGACGAGAAAATGGAAACCGCGATGAAATACTCGTCGCTACATTATATCTCAATGTAAATATTTAATCTGCAAGACAGTGTATTAATCATTGAGATATTTCTTTTATTTCGAAAAGATATTTATTCCGGGGAGATTGTTAACAAATTACGGTACTTTTGTTCGTGAAAATAATTTATTGTGAATTTTCTTTCTTAATACTTTATTATTATTTTTATTGTGATGAGGTTATTATTGTTTAGTTGGTACGTTCTATTCTTCTTCTTCTTCTTCTTCTTCTTCTTATTATTATTATTATTATTATTATTATTATTGCTATTATTATTAGTACTATTACTATTATTAACATTATAATCCTTGACTTACTTTTCCACACCAATTCTCAACGCCTTCCTTTATCCACATTCAAAATAAGATCTCCCTTGTCACTTCTAGATACACAGATTCCGAATAGCAAATTTAAAAGATTGAACGCACCGCTATTTACTCAGACACTCTTACAGAAAATTACTTCGAAGTATTTACATATTTGCGGATATACTTAAGTATTCATTGCCTAAACTCTGAAACGATATCGTTAGTAAAAGAACAATGTATTTTTAGCGAATATTGTGTTCGTAACTATATGATAAAATTCGCTGGTCCATCAGCAAATTAAAACACCACCATTTCATTATGATACCGAAGGTCAATCAATTTGGGTCAGGAACGTGTCTATAATTTCTTCCAATAATTTTGGAGGAATATTTCAAACTGAATGGAAAATTTAATTTCATTAAAATATTTCTGTTTAAACTATTATATTTAAGGGTTGCTGCTAGTGAATTCAAAAATTTTCTTCGCTAAAACATCAATTAATAAACTATTATTATTTAACATTAATTCTATAAAAATATAAAGTAGTGCATCTACAAAAATTTTTTATTAAAACATCTCTTAATAAATTGTTATATTTTAACAGTCACTGTAGAAGGTTCTGAAGTAGTGAATCCATAAATATTTTTTACTGAAACATCTCTCAATAAATTGTTATATTTTAACAGTCACTGTATAAGGTTCTGAAGTAATGAATGCATAAATATTTTTTACTGAAACATCTCTCAATAAATTGTTATATTTTAACAGTCACTGTATAAGGTTCTGAAGTAGTGAATCCATAAATATTTTTGACTGAAACATCTCTCAATAAACTATTATTATTTAACAGTAATTGTACAAAAATGTAAACAAGTGCCTTCACAAATATTTTTTGCTAAATCATCCCTTAATAAATTGCCATATTTTAACAATCACTGTATAAAGATCTGAAGTAGTGAATTCATAAATAATTTTTACTAAAACATCTCTCAATCAACAGTAACATTCAATAATAATTATACAAAAATCAGAACAAGTACCTCTACAAATATTTTTCACTAAACCACCCCCCAATAAATTACCATATTTTACCAGTCACTGCATAAAGACCCGAAGTAGATAAATAATTTTTGCCAAAACATCTCTCAATAAACCGTAACATTCAGCAGTAATTGCATAAACATCCGAATCCACAAATTTCCCTCAAAAATATTCGACAATTTCATACGGTAATAAATAAAACGCAAATAACAGTTCGTTGATAGAACATTAATCACTCTCATTGAATTTATGAATTTCATTTCGGCTGTCCGTCCACGAAACATATTTTTCGCGCGTGAAAATGATCCGGAAGGCAAATATGTCCACGGGTACGATCAATTGCCAGTATTTTTCTTGGAATATCTGATTTTAACGTCCATGAAAATGGGACGGGTTGTAGTCTTTCGGATCAACGGTCCAAAATCCTGCGACATCGATATACTCGCCGAGCTGAACACATATTTGCACAGCGTTTTTAATTACAGATATATGAGCGGACTTTCGTGAAGCGAATAAAGGTCCGTTTATACTGAAACTTGATGTCAACGGGAACCATTCTCCGAGTGTAACGCGGGGGAAAACTTTTGCCCTGGAACGAGCACTTGTGCAGTTCTAATTTAACGGTGAACTTGAGTATAATGGCGCTTAACGCGGACATAATTTCGGATACAAAATTGTCGATGATATTAAGAATAAATGTGGATGTTTATCTTTTTGGTGAAGATAGAAATTTGTAGAAAAGAGTCTTAACATATTTTGTACTTTGTTTATTAAACATTCAACAAATTTTGTAAGTTTGTAATTTGTTAAATTTTTTTATCGATTACTTTAAGGATTTGGTGGTTTTAGTGAAAATAAAATCGTATCAGTGATAAGAATAATTGTAACTTATTTAATAATAATAGTATTAATTATAATATTATGTGAAATTTTACTTGAAATTTTATGAAAATAAAATAAAATAAAATTCATAGGAATAAAATATTACTTCAGATGAAAGTATGATGTAAAGTACAGAGAACTTGTATTCCACGATTTACAAATAAAATTTCCAATAAAAAAAAAATAAATAAACAAGAAATAATTTCCATAAATTATTTCTGATTTTCAAACACTTTATTCTTCAATCTTAAAATTGAAAAATGTGAAGAAATGAAAAATCTCTGACAGGAAGGCGTGGTCTAAATATCAGATCAGAGGAGTAAAACTATGATTAGCTAATGGTTATGAAAGCGGTCAAGGTTATTAGGAACCGTCTATTTTTACGGACCTCCACGTTTATGCGTCTAAAAATACAAAATTTCCTTTGAACGTAAAAATATATAAATAATGTAGTACAATGATCTCTTTAACTTTACACAGTGCATATTGAGACTGTTAAACATTCCTTGGCGCTGCCTGGCTTAGCGTTTCATCTCTTTATCCCTCCATATATCTCCTAAAGTGCTGTTCGCCGTTCGAATTTTACGTTACTTCCACGCCTGAACGATTTTACGGCTTGCTTATCTCATCTACTGACCCCATAAAGTTTGGTTGGTTATGTGACCCATAGATCTGCAATTCTGGAACGCGTTAATCGCTTGTATTTCAAAACAAAGTGGCTTTAGTACTGCAGCGTTTGTGGTTAGGGTGCAGCCATTGTTGCTTCGAACTGCTGGAGCCATTTTGTACTTTTGCAGTAAGATGATGAATTATGAATTAAAGAAAATTGATGAATGATGAATTAAAGAAAATTGATGAATGATGAATTAAATACACCTGTTAATACATTTTCATAGCAACTTAAATTAAAAACTTTTCAACTAAATTTATAGTTTCATGTGTGATGTGTAAAAAGGACAGTATAGGTACAGTGTACTTACACAAAAATATTTATTATAAATACTTATAGCTACTTATATAAATACTGATATAATGATTTTAAATAACAGTACTCGTACAACACTTATCTAATAAATATTATTTGCAACATATTTTACTCAGACTCCGTCGCATCTGCCCGCCATTTTGTTTACGTACACAACCGCCATTTTGTAACGCGTTCATCTCACAATGAATCATTGCCAGTATTAACAAACACTCGCACCACACAGTTCCAATACAATTGAAAAATGATGAACTTGTATAAAGTTCTGCTAACAATTTATAACTTTTCTTGCAGGAATTCAATGTGGCTAAAGAACAGCACGCCGTACAGCCATGTTCGTCCGTGGTGGTTGAATCAGGTAAGAACACCATTGTTCTCAGAAAACCGATAGCACAATAATCCTCGCAATCTTGTAACACATAAATCTCCGTTGCATCGCCGCTTTCAAAATCTCCGATCAATAAAAGATATTGACATTAAAGATGTCTCTAAGGCAGGCAATATGAAACGGTACTTTGAAAAATCGTGGCGTGCGCCGAGTAATCCATATTTCTTGTCGTGCACAGAAATCGTACTAAAACGATCGTGTTCGGTATAACAAGCAATTTTTTCGTCGTGTTCAATCAGAAATAATAATCCTGCGAAGGGATGCGGGTCGATAAATAAACGTTAGCTGTTATCGTCAAAATTATACCGCAATAAAGTGGTGTTCTTTTAGCGTCTTGACTATGGAAATTTATTAGGGCGTAATTTAACGTTCTCGCTAAGGGTGACTGTGCTGTGCCCATCCTTCATTTAGTGCACGTTGCGGTATCGTTATGGGGAAACTTTATTGTGAGACATTGATATTTATTGTTTGTAACTTGAGGGTTGTTTGTGGGGATCGTTAGTTTTCGGTTGTGGCTGATTTCGGGAAAAATTGGTTATTAGTCTGTGGTGTTTAGGTGTGGATATGCAGAATTTTGGAATTTGGGGGTTTGGGGGTTTGGGGGTTTGGAGGTTTGAGGGTTTGGGGGTTTGGAGGTTTAGGGGTTTGGGGGTTTGGGACTTTAGGAATTTAGGGAACTGGGAATTGGGAAATTAGGAAGTGGGGATTTAGGAATTGGGGATTTAGGAATTGGGAATTTAGGAATTGGGAATTTAGGAAGTGGGGATTTAGAAATCGGGGAATTTAGGAATTTGGGAATTTAGAAACTTGGAGAATTGAAAATTTGGAGAGTTGGAAATCTGGAGAGTTGGAAATTTAGAGAGTTGGTAATTTGGAGAGTTGGAAATTTGGAGAGTTGGAAATTTAGAGAGTTGGAAATTTGGAAATTTGGAAATTTGGAAATTTGGAAATTTGGAAATTTGGAAATTTGGAAATTTGGAAATTTGGAAATTTGGAAATTTGGAAATTTGGAAATTTGGAAATTTGGAAATTTGGAAATTTGGAAATTTGGAAATTTGGAAATTTGGAAATTTGGAAATTTGGAAATTTGGAAATTTGGAAATTTGGAAATTTGGAAATTTGGAAATTTGGAAATTTGGAAATTTGGAAATTTGGAAATTTGGAAATTTGGAAATTTGGAAATTTGGAAATTTGGAAATTTGGAAATTTGGAAATTTGGAAATTTGGAAATTTGGAAATTTGGAAATTTGGAAATTTGGAAATTTGGAAATTTGGAAATTTGGAAATTTGGAAATTTGGAAATTTGGAAATTTGGAAATTTGGAAATTTGGAAATTTGGAAATTTGGAAATTTGGAAATTTGGAAATTTGGAAATTTGGAAATTTGGAAATTTGGAAATTTGGAAACTTGGAAAATTGGAAATTTAGAGAGTTGGAAATTTGGAAATTTTGAGAGTTGGAAAAATCTGAATTTTAGACTTCAAAAACTTTGCAATTTAAAAAGTTCCAAATTCATAAACTTTACACTTTGAAAACTTGAGAGTCCAACTTACAATCTCATAAATTTTAAAGTATGAAAACTTGCAAACTTGAAAAGTTCAAGATTTGTAAATACAGAAATTCGTGAATGAACTCCAAAATTTCTCCTCCCAAGATTACAATCCAGATAATGCTGCGTTTGCATCTTAACGTCTGTTTTTTGTGTGCAGCAGGTGGATTACCACATCAAAGTCGCAGTTACCCTGGTGGTAGCAGTGGAACCGGTAGCATGGGACGATTATTTACAAGGAATTCATCGGTGAGTTCTCAAAGCTCTTTGGAGGGAGCTTCAGGACCTTCAGGACCACCCAGTCATCGTGGTTCTTCTTCACAAGTTGGACGATATCATCATCATCGTGACCCGTTACATGCTGCCTCTTCTTATCCTCCTAGCAGAAGTTCAAGGTTAGGTTGCATTTATGCTGGTTAGCATGTGCTTTTGTGTTTATGGATGATAAACTGAGTTGGTGCGTGAGGCAATGGAAAAGATGGTTATTGTGAACATTTTTATATGGGCAAATAAGAATGTGACAATATTGTGAGAGTTGGAAAAATCTGAATTTTAGACTTCAAAAACTTTGCAATTTAAAAAGTTCCAAATTCATAAACTTTACACTTTGAAAACTTGAGAGTCCAACTTACAATCTCATAAATTTTAAAGTATGAAAACTTGCAAACTTGAAAAGTTCAAGATTTGTAAATACAGAAATTCGTGAATGAACTCCAAAATTTCTCCTCCCAAGATTACAATCCAGATAATGCTGCGTTTGCATCTTAACGTCTGTTTTTTGTGTGCAGCAGGTGGATTACCACATCAAAGTCGCAGTTACCCTGGTGGTAGCAGTGGAACCGGTAGCATGGGACGATTATTTACAAGGAATTCATCGGTGAGTTCTCAAAGCTCTTTGGAGGGAGCTTCAGGACCTTCAGGACCACCCAGTCATCGTGGTTCTTCTTCACAAGTTGGACGATATCATCATCATCGTGACCCGTTACATGCTGCCTCTTCTTATCCTCCTAGCAGAAGTTCAAGGTTAGGTTGCATTTATGCTGGTTAGCATGTGCTTTTGTGTTTATGGATGATAAACTGAGTTGGTGCGTGAGGCAATGGAAAAGATGGTTATTGTGAACATTTTTATATGGGCAAATAAGAATGTGACAATATTGGGAATTTAGGAAGTGGGGATTTAGGGTTTGGGAAGTTAGGAAGTTGGGATTTAGGTAGTGGGGATTTAGGAATTTGGGAATTTAGGAAGTGGGAATTTACGAATTAGGGAATTGAGGAATTGGGAAATTTAGAAATTGGGAAGTTTAGAAATTGGGAAGTTTAGAAATTGGGAAATTTAGAAATTGGGAAATTTAGGAATTGGGAAATTTAGGAATTGGGAAATTTAGGAATTGGGAAATTTAGAAATTGGGAAATTTAGAATTTGGGAAATTTAGAAATTGGGAAATTTAGGAATTGGGAAATTTAGAGATTAGGAAATGTTGGAATTAGCAAATTTTGGAATTGGGAAATTTAGAAATTGGGAAATTTAGGAATTGGGAAATTTAGGAATTGGGAAATTTAGAAATTGGGAAATTTAGAATTTGGGAAATTTAGAAATTGGGAAATTTAGAATTTGGGAAATTTAGAAATTGGGAAATTTAGAATTTGGGAAATTTAGAAATTGGGAAATTTAGAATTTGGGAAATTTAGAAATTGGGAAATTTAGAATTTGGGAAATTTAGAAATTGGGAAATTTAGAATTTGGGAAATTTAGAAATTGGGAAATTTAGAATTTGGGAAATTTAGAAATTGGGAAATTTAGGAATTGGGAAATTTAGGAATTGGGAAATTTAGAGATTAGGGAATTTTGAAATTAGCAAATTTTGGAATTGGGAAATATGGAAATTGAGAAATTTAGGAATTGGGAAATTTAGGAATTGGGAAATTTAGAAATTGGGAAATTTAGAAATTGGGAAATTTAGAATAGAATTTGGGAAATTTAGGAATTGGGAAATTTCGAGATTAGGAAATTTTGAAATTAGCAAATTTTGGAATTGGGAAATTTAGGAATTGGGAAATTTAGGAATTGGGAAATTTAGAAATTTGAGAATTTAAATAGTAGAAATTTAGGAATTTGCTTAAGGCTTAAAGCCTTGCTCTGTTAAACACCTCAGCCTCTTCGCGCGCCAACTCCTAGTTTGACATCAGTAGATACTATAAATAATTAGTCAAACATCCATTAAAGTAGTAACCAAACTTACAGAAACATTCTACTAATTTATTTTATGATTTCGTTCTGCACATAATTCAAAAGCGCCACTTAATAGAATTCTAAGAACATATTACAATTTCTCATCAGAAGTCGATATTTGTTGTAATCAAGATTTCACTAATTAATTCTTAATCGATAACGTCGGTGCTGCATAGAACTCGTCAACAAGGTTTCAAGTAATTAATTAAGTTTCTGATTTAATCAACTACTGATTATCAAGTATCGTTTCAGTCGTACATAATTAAGTTCCCTTTCATTAACAAGCCAGTTGTAATTGTTAATTGAAGGGTTTCGTAACTGAGAATTACAGTTTCCTTCTGAACTCTGATTTATTGGAGTAAAGATTATAGGTCTTTACCGCTCTTGATTAAAATATTTAATCAAAAATATTAAATTCGTTTTAATTAATTTTCTTTTCTCCAGTAGGACAATATCTTTTTAATTTAATTCATAAATTTTAAGTCACAGTGGAGTTTCAGTGAACATAACCTTAAATTAAAGATCAACATAACCTACAAATTAAACCTTAACCTACTAATTATCCATTTGTATTTAGAATTAAAATTCTACGTACAAACTAATTAAAAAATTCGATCGAACAAAAAAGTAAATTTTCTGATCAGAAGTTTCAAAATTGAATTCAATTAATTTCGTAATTTTTAATTCAAGATAATCAGATCGAAAACGAAATCATCCAATTAACAATCGTAATTTAGTCTCCGGAATAAAAGGTATTTGTCGGTTGCAATTTAATCGTTTAATTAGTAAAGAGAAATTATGCAGAGAAATTTCGAAACGTCGGTAATATAATCCCAAATATTTAACGCAAGCATTTTACGTAAAATCGGAGAAAATTCGACCGCAACGCTTTATCTGCAATCATATGCGGCGATTGTTGATGAGTTTTCGTTAAATGCCCGCTGTAAATGTGTACCGGCGCAGCAAAATGGCTGCGAAACAAGTGTAGTTTAGGTGCCGGTGATTGAGGTTTACATATACATTTCGATTTGCGTGCGAAAATACACTAGGTAGTTTCGAGCCCCAACTGGACTGGAGATTCGCCGTTTTCCCACCGGAAACTCACTATTTCGTAATTCCGGTGGCATCGCAAACATTAAAGCGAATTGCTGTCGCGTTCCAATGCATATTTTCCCTCCTTTCCTCCTACACTTTGAAATACTATTATGGAGAGTTAGGTATGTTTCCTGTTCATTCAGACTGTGATTCAATTCGGAGGGCAGCCATTTTGCTGTGATTATAATAGGATATGCAATAATATATGAGCCTAAACTTTACCGAGTTCAAAGGAAGTTTCTATAAATGTTTATTTTGTACGATAACATACTACCATGTTGGAAAAGTTACTCAAATAGTAATAGGGAAAGTATTTTAATTCAGCAAATTTTTTAATGAAGTATTTTTTCAATATTTTGTCTCAATAATTTTGACTCATTTTTCATAGATATGTTCTTCAATTTTACATCTTTTTTCCATTTTCCAGCATACATGAATTTACTGAAATAACATGCGATGTACCCGATATCGATTATCAAAGTCCACGAAATAATCAATGATTTCGGGGAGTCTCGTGGCTGATCGAATGCGTTGAAAAATTGAAAACTAGTTACGTCAGCTAATCGAAGTTCAGTAATTAGGTCAAGAAGTTAATTAATATATAAGAGCTATTATCATTAAGGTTTTCAGTGCTTTTGTCTATTGTGTGCGCCCGACCGACTGTTTGTATTAAGTAGAGGATTTGCATGTGTACATAGTTTAATATCTTCTCGACATGTAACAAACATGCTTGAAATTGGATGTTCCATTAGAGATATTAAACGGTATCCAGCAAACGGGCTTTTGTCGAATCTATCGTGAACTCTTTATAATCCCTTATGGATCAGAACGACGTTAATGAATTTTGAATCGTTTTAAATAATTCTGGAAAAAGTAGTGATGTATTTAAGTGGAGTTTTGTGATTTGTTCGGAAATTAAGATCAGACTACATTTTATTGATAGTTTTAGGTGTAATTAAATTATACACATAAGTAGTCATGTTTGTAAATGGAGTTTCGTGGTTTTTTCGTAAAATAGTTTTTGGTCAAACTACGTTTTATTGATAATTTTTGGTGTAATTAAATTATATACATAAGTAGTGATGTATTTAAGTGGAGTTTTATGATTTGTTCGTAAATTAGATTTAGATCAAACTATGTTTTATTAATAATTTTAGGTTTAAAGTATACGCATTCTCATTAATTTTAACTTATTAATTTTTGTAGTTTAAAATTCGCCATTTTTTATTAAGTTAAATTAAGAATGTTAAACTGCGAAATTCGTGAACGTCAAAACTAAAGAATACAAGTGCATAAAAATTGTGAGATTCAAGAACGTTAAATATACAAAATTGAAATACCTAAAACTTACAAAATTAAAATACTTAAAAATTACAAAATTGAAATACCTAAAAATTACGAAATTGAAATACCTAAAAATTACAAAATTAAAATACCTAAAAATTGCAAAATTGAAAAGACCAAAATTACGAAATATAGGACAAATCTACAAATATCTTTTAATGCGTATACCGTCCGCTATTTCGCACATAGCAAATAAAATAAGTAGGTTGCTGTATGCGTCGATGTTTGGAATTGCAGATAAGCAGCACTCTATCCGCATAAAATTCATGTGCACCATACACACAATTGTTAAACACACAGATCACCATCACCTGGTCGCGCAGCATCGTTAGACGCACGCAGTGGGAGTCCAGCCAGTTGTTCCGGAAGCCTTCTTAGCAGCAATGCATCACCATCTCAGAGCTCACTGTCGTCTCTGGCAACAGGTGTGAGCTCTTCATGTGGTGGTTCCTCGATAAGCGTTGCCCACGGTGCTTCCAGATCAGCTGGCCGAAGTTTATCACCGCTTCTTATTCCGCCGTCACGCACTTCCGGAAGGTGAGCCATTTTTCAATCGTTCCGTGCACCAATGCTTCCTGCTTTTTTACGGTAAATCAATCATTATTATTATAAACACTAGAATTCAACATAATATGTAGATTGTTACAAGTACTGTGATAAACTGATACTTAAAATAATATATAGACTATTACAAGTACTATAACAAAATAATTACACATTGAAGACTTGCTGTAAGTTCAAATAAAATTTATGAACCTACAGAGATTACCCTTTGATATAATCAATAATACAAAACTTGAAAAAGTACTAATACAGAAAATCAATTACAATTGCATAACGCAGATAATTTGAATAAAAATCAGAGAACAAAAAAGGCATCTCATCAATGAAATTCTGTATTCCTGCGAAATATCTCAACTTCGGGTGAAATCGTATGCATGATCGTATATTTAAATTTGAATAAAAATTAATGGGTCACAACATTGATCAGGAACGATCAGAAAAGAACGAACTGAATATTCATCGCCATTTGTTCACGATTCGATAATGCATTGGTAATTATATAACGATAAATTGTTTTCGAACCTTTTCAGTCGATTTAATTTTGCTTGTTCACGATTATTGTATTTAATCAGATCATCGTACCGGAATTGTTTCGCGTATAATAACTCTACACGTTGAAAGCGTTATACAACCATTTTGTGTTGGTCTTTGACCTGAAACTACCACTTTGTGCAGTTTGATCGTTTGCACTATTTTGAGGAGTTTCACTCGTGACGCACTTATGACGCACTCGTGATAAATTCAGGACGCACTCGTGACGTACATGTGACGTACTCATGACGTACTTGTGAGGAGGTGGGATTTTAGGGATTTGGGATTTTAGGGATTTGGGATTTTAGGGATTTGGGATTTTAGGGATTTGGGATTTTAGGGATTTGGGATTTTAGGGATTTGGGATTTTAGGGATTTGGGATTTTAGGGATTTGGGATTTTAGGGATTTGGGATTTTAGGGATTTGGGATTTTAGGGATTTGGGATTTTAGGGATTTGGGATTTTAGGGATTTGGGATTTTAGGGATTTGG